GTGCAAATAAGTTAGATTTTAAGGTTTTTTTTTTAATTATTATAATAAAAGAGATATTATGAAAAGGTTGATTAATTGGAATTATTAAACAAAAGGTAAAATAATTAATTATTAAATAAGGTGAATTAATTAAAAGGTGGATTGATTAAATAATTAAATTAAAAAAAAAAGATTATGATTAATAAAAAGTTGTTAGTTTATTTTAAAAAAGATTAATTAGTTATGATTAATAAAATAAAAAAAGATTAAATAAATGGCAGATTAATAGGTTGATTAGGGTGTTTAAACGCGGTGAGTGTGTTTGCAAGTGTATGGTGTAATGTGTGTGCAGTTACATGATGATAACATAAACAAACGAAACAGAAAGAAAACAGAAGCAGAAACGAAGAACCCTAATCCCAATTCCCTTTCGCCCTCCTTCGATCTCAGACTACGCTCGGTTTCGCCTCTCCGGATCCACTCTTCATCGTTCGCTTTTCTTCTCCCTTTCGTCATCTCCTCTATTTTTGAACCTGAAAACACAAGAAACAAACGTCAATAGTTCAATGATTTAGGCATGGATCAAGGGTCTACCGAAAGTTGGGACGGCGGCGACTGGTGATGGCTTCGACGATTGAACAGATAAGTTCTTCTTCTCCCTTCACTTTGACCTACTTAGGGTTTTGTGGTTTTCTTTTCTGAGTTTCGAATTTCTCCAAGAAGGTGTCTTCTGCGATCCAAATTCCTCTTTTTATAAACGATTTTGGGCTTTGGGTCCTTAAAATCATTGATTGAATTTATGATTGCTTGTTATTAAAATCTTCCATTCCTGTGTTGGACAAATTTGAAATATTTCCTTTCTCGTTCGATTGGATTCAATGTTGTTGATGAGAATCATTCTTGTGTGATTTGAGTTGAAGAATCTTTCATTGATGCTAAGGAATCTGATAGGATCTAAATAGGATCTTTTTAACATAGGGTATATTCTTCCATCAATTTACTAATCCATGAGTTGTGATCTAACAGGTGTAGATAACGGGAGATATTGGGCCAGGGGAGGAATTAGCAGCCCAGAATAATAAACTTGCATCCGGTACATTTCGCAACGAACTCGACCAATATGCTTGTAGTGAACTGCAAACACCTCTGATACTCCTTGGTGAGGGTTCCCACGAAAATGTTGGTGATGATGAGTAACAACTTCAAATGTCTCTCTTGCGAACAAACTGAATGCAAGACATGTTGTTTTATGGTGTTAGCAGCTGCAACCACGTGAGTGAAGAAGAGCAAGGTTGTCATTTCTCTTTCCATTTTACTCTTCATTCTTATTCTTCAGGTCACATCGACTGTGTATCTAACATTATTCTCTTCTTTTCATGTGCTTGATGATGGTGTTTGGGGGATAGCATCTTGGCTTGATTGTATTATCATGAACTGATCTTGTCTATAACCTTGCAGGATGAAACCGCATTGCCGTGAAAGTGACTTGGTTGAAAGTTCTGCAGGCTCTCATTCTAAACACAAGTTGATGGCTTCAGTTGTTTGTCCGCTGCTTCCCACATTCTTCTTAGCATTGGGAGCAAAATACTCAACAGCAGACTTCCTCCAAAACTTAATGTTGTTATCCTTAGGTCTACGTTGTTGCTGATACATGTAGTGTGTCAGTCGCCTTGCACACATCCCTGGTTCACATGCCGGTTTCACAGGAGACCTCACGGGCATATTCTGCTATCGACATTGATGTGGTAAATGGAGACCGTTGTTGAGGCATTGACTTTAAAAGTTGTGGTATGTTGGATACGATACTATCTTATAATATTAGGTTGCATTTGTGGACGAATTTGAGGATGAGGTTATTGATATCCTGTGGTTGTTGCAGGTCTGATGTGATATTATGCATGACGGGGCAAAGAATGTGGTGGTGATAGTGTTCTCGTTCTTGTTCTGTTTTGATCTTCCGTCCCATGACTCGTGCTTTCCTCAATTAAACTTAATCGTGCTTTGCATGCTATTGAGTTGATTCAAGGATTTACTGGCTGTATTCATCTTTCTTACCAGGTTGCGGAAGGGAAACATGTCCAGATGAGGCAAATTCTTGAGTGCGAGGAGTTCTAGAAGGCACTTGAGAAGTGTGACCAAGAAATGGTGCAAGGTATTCACTGCGCCTTATGGTAACAGTCACTTTTGAAGTAAGAAAAAGAGTTGGTATGCTGCTGTGATGGTGTTGCAAAGTTTTGATCTCTCGGCTGCCTTCTGTTTTGACTAACATATTCATTAACTCTTGTTGTAACAGGGTTTGATGAAACACCAAGTTGGGGCTGGGATTAGCACAGCCGTGAGTTTGTTGTGGTCATGATTTTGATGCGCCGGTTTACTGCTGCCACTACCTTGAAGCACTACGCGAAAGGAGTGAAATGGAACGCCTTCTAAGAATGATTCACCCGGGTCTTAGGAGCACAAAGCATATCGTCTTTCAGTGCTTGTTGTGAGGACAAACTGGTAGCCATAGAAGCTTGGTCTGGAACTCATGATGGGTTTTTTTCTGCACATAGATCTCCGGCGGAGCAGTACGTCAAATTGAGAGGGTAATGAACAACTGGCCTGTTATGCAGAATTTGCTTTCCTGTTTTACTGATGATGCACGTCTACTAAGCTAAACGATGTTACCGATTGTATTAACTGCTGTGCTAATGTTGCCGGTACATGAGATTGCCTTGTTGATTATGTGCAAGATACAAACAATGAGGATGCATCAAGACTTGGTTTAACCGTTTATGGCATAAACAGAGTCGAATGTGGAAAGCCTGTGGCAGATGGATATTGAAAAATCCTTTCTCTGTTAATCTCATTTGGAGGTCCAGCATATAGCAGACGGTCGAAGCGTCCTTGTCGTAAAAAAGCAAGGCCTTGGTAGCAGCAGTGTGTTTGAAAAAAACAACTGCACCTAGGAATAATTCACTTAATAGCTTGTAGGAAGCTAGATCTTGTAATAGTCATTAAACCGTGTATTTGGTAGTTATAAAGTGGATTGAGTGGTAACGTTTTAGCATATGTGGCTCCTTCACTTCGTGACAGACCATTTGATACTTGGAGTAAAATGTGTACTTTGAGAATACTGGAGCAATAATAAGGGTGGATGAACCTCCTATTATCCTTAAAACGTTTTGAATTAATGCTTTGCAGCCCAAATGATGAATATCGCACTGTTATTTGAATTCTAATAAGAACTCAAAATTAATGTTATTCCAAGTCTAGATGTCGATTGAACTTCCAAGAGCCCGTTAGCCCAAATCTTCAATTTAAACGCAAGTCTAATCCTTCTGATAAGTCTCTTGACATGAAATACTTCGTCTTACAGAATGTTCAAACGATCCTTTTGACGATGGCAGTCTTAGTACAAAATCAAGGTTGTGAAGAGTCCCCATAAATAGAAGTTCCCCTTGTCATGCAGTCCTATCCTTGAAGTCCCCAATTAAATGAAAAACTTAAGACAATCTCTGGTTAGGATCAACTGGTTATGCTTTGGAATGCTCGATTGGGGAAATAATTATTCATCTATTGTAAATCATGCCTGCACCAAACGGTTAGCTATAACGTACATATAAACAGTAGAGTAAAACAAGCAAAAAAAATAAACACTAGGAGGTGGGATCTTATGGTCAAAAATTAGGGTGCGACAGTTTGGTCAGAAATGAGATATGATAAGAGAGCAATAATCTGTGATATAAATAGGTAAGTAGAAGAGCATATTACTGACCAATAATTATGTATGAGTATAATGATGTATGAAGTGGTATCTACTAGTATGCAAACACATCGTGAAGAGATGAACAATATTCTCATTATAATTTGGTTGCACCAAGGTTCAACCCTAAGCACTTACATTTTTTAATTTTGGGTGTACTCATGTAACACATCCAAACTAACACCGAGATGTATATTTCTTTTGTTGCAAATGATACAGTCCTACTTGAAGAGTGGAAGGAGAATTTAATGAGAGGTTGAAGACAAGTCTTAGAAACACGTAACTTCCGCCTAAATAGAAGTAAGACAATATATGAAATGTATGTTTAGCAAAAGTTGGAGACCGTATCATACCACAAGTCACATGTTTTAATATCTTGGGTCTGTAATGCTAAATGATAGAGTAATAAAAGATGATGTAAATGATCGAATTCAAATTGAATGGCTAAAATGGAGGAACATCTCAAGAGTTTTATGTGACACACAAGTACCACTAAAGTTGAAGGAAAAGTTTTATCAAACATCGATAAGAAATGCGATGTTGTACGAGATAGAATGTTAGACATTTAAAAATTAACACGAGAATAGAGTAAGTGTAATAGAGACAAAAATGTTGCACTAATTGTGTTATAAAACTAGACAAAATGAGATTAAAAATAAAAATATTAAAAAGTGTTGGAGTAAATATTTATAAGAGAAAAGATGATAAAAGATATACTTAAATCTAAGTATGTAGAGAAAAAAAATGTGTCGATTCTATTATAAAGAGAATATATCAAATAGATGAAGATAAAAAAAAAACTATAAAAAAATTATTTTAAAAAATATCAATGTATCGAATTGGATATAATCATTAAGAGAACATTATAATAAAATTTGATCATATAGTTAACATTAGTTAGTGTGATAATAGTTGGTTGTTCTGGTATTCTTCCATAAAAGTTGATTATGAAGATCATAAGCAACTTCCCGTTGGCCCATGTGGATTCTTTTTTCAAATACAAATATACAAGAGAATGACCCAAGAGTAACAATAATATCAGAAGAAAAAAAAGACCAATCACAAATAAATATTAAAATGCCAAAACTTCTAAAATGGGGTAAGAAAATTCAAAGCTGAAAGTAGACTGAGTACAAAGTCTGTGAGTAGTCCACACGTTTTATGCCTATAAAAAAATAAACAAAATCAACTCAAACAACCATCAAGAACAAGGATTTCAGAAGATCCATTTCCACTTCAAATTCCAAACAGAAACACCAAAACACTTATAGCCTCAATGGCTAAAAACAACACTACACACCAAATCCTCTTACTCTTCTCATTCCTCTCTCTTCTTTTTTCCATCCATGCTAAACTTCACCTCCACCCTTCCGACGCAAAAGCCCTCGCAACTCTCCGAAACAACCTCGGCCTCAAAACCAACGCCACAGACCACCCGTGCAACACGGAGGGCGTGTTCTGCGAAAAACGACTCACCAACAACGAAAGCTATTCCCTCCGAGTCACAAAACTCGTTTTCAACTCAAAGAAACTCAGAGGCACGCTTTCACCAATCATTGGAAAATTCACAGAACTCAAAGAACTCTCTCTTTCACACAACAAACTCGTTGACCGTATCCCTTCCCCCATAGTTGACTGCAGAAAGCTTGAGATTCTTAATCTCGGAGATAATCTTTTCTCCGGTGAAGTTCCTTCTGAATTCTCCTCTCTCGTTCGTCTTCGTTTTCTTGATATCTCGGGAAATAAACTCTCCGGAGACTTGAATTTTCTTCGTTATTTTCCCAATCTAGAAACTCTTTCTGTTGCGAATAATCACTTTACAGGAAGAGTTCCCGCTTCGGTTCGGTCTTTTCGTAATCTCAGACAGTTTAACTTCTCTGGTAACCGTTTTCTTGAAGCCCTGCCGTTGAATCAGAAGCTTCTAGAATATGATAATACTAATACCAACACCGCGAATAAGCGCTATATCCTTGCTGAGAATGATAATTCGAATTCGAAGTCAAATGGAACGAGGATTTCTCGTTCTCATTCGCCTGCTCCTGCACCTGGTCCTGCAGCAGTGGATCCTCACCACAAGCATAAGAAGAACAGGAGGAAGCTTACTGGATGGATTCTTGGATTTGTTGCGGGCGCATTCGCTGGGATACTCTCTGGTTTCGTGTTTTCGTTGTTGTTTAAGTTGGCTTTGATTGTGATTAAAGGAAAAGGAAAAGGTTCTGGTCCTGCAATTTATAGTTCTTTGATTAAGAAAGCTGAGGATTTAGCTTTCTTGGAGAAAGAAGACGGGTTAGCTTCGATGGAACTTATCGGAAGTGGTGGATGCGGCGAGGTTTACAAGGCGGAATTACCGGGGAGTAATGGTAAAATGATTGCCATCAAGAAGATTATTCAGCCATCTAAGGACGCAGCGGAGTTGGCTGAAGAAGATAATAGTAAGCTTCTGCATAAGAAGATGCGACAAATTAAGTCGGAGATTGATACCGTCGGTCAGATTCGTCATCGCAATCTTTTGCCTCTTTTGGCTCATGTTTCCAGACCTGATTGTCATTACCTTGTGTATGAGTTTATGAAGAATGGGAGTTTGCAGGATATGTTGAACAAAGTTGAAAGTGGCGAAGCGGAGTTGGATTGGTTGACAAGGCATAGGATAGCACTTGGTATCGCGGAAGGGCTTGAATACCTTCACACGAGCCATAGTCCTCGCATAATTCATCGAGATCTCAAGCCTGCAAACATCCTTCTTGACGATGATATGGAAGCTAGGATTGCGGATTTTGGACTCGCGAAAGTAATGCCTGATGCGCAGACGCATATCACTACTTCAAACGTGGCTGGCACGGTGGGATATATCGCGCCCGAGTATCACCAGATATTAAAATTCAGTGACAAGTGTGACATATATAGCTTTGGTGTTATGCTTGGTGTTTTGGTGATAGGAAAGCTTCCTTCTGATGAGTTTTTTCAGAATACTGATGAGATGAGTTTGGTCAAGTGGATGAGAAATGTGATGACTTCGGAAAATCCCAAGGACGCAATCGACCCAAAGCTCATAGGTAATGGTTATGAGGAACAAATGCTTCTGGTTTTGAAGATTGCTTGCTTTTGCACCATGGATACTCCTAAGGAGAGGCCTGATAGTAAGAATGTCAGGATCATGCTGTTCCAAATCAAGCACTAGTTAATTTGATAAATATATGAAATAAAATGTATAATAATGTGTGATTAAGTGTGTCATTATAATAGTATTCTTTTCATTACAACATGCTGAATTTCAAGAAAATAAAAAGTAAAGATAGATGAAATTCAGCATTGTGATAATGTATGTCTAATTGAATCTGTAACTATCTTGTTGCACTATGTTTCTGTATTGATCAAGTAAATAAAATACTTCAATTTTGTTACCATACTTTCATTCTGAGTACTTTTATTGATAAGCATTTTTCAACATTAATCAAGAAAAGAAAAAGCAGCACTTAATATAATTGCTAATCTTTGAATTTGGACAAAAGGGTGAATAGGCACAACACAATACGAAGATACGATCTGTTTCAACAGTCAAAATGACAGAATACAATTCCTAATTTTTCTAGTTCTTTTATTTTATATTTTCTTTACATAGTTTTTTCTTCACTCTTTATTCTATACAATATTGCAATATGCATGCAAAGTCAACATGTTCATATTTCATAGTATTGAAACATAGACAAAATGTGTTCCCCATTTTCCTCCTTTGACGAGAACAAAAAGAAGTTTACAAGTGAGGTTCCTTGTGTTTTGCATTGACTGCCTCAGAAATAATTAGCACTATGCATTTACACTTAAAATGTACAATCAAGACAGCTTGAAACAACGGTCAAGCTTATTTGCATTTAATGACTGATAATACCAGAATTAAGAATAATGAGAAAAGTATGAATTTTCTGTATATTTGTGTAAAGCATAGAATCTCTACATGAATAAATAGCAACAAGAGGAAGCTATGTAAAGAAAGTTAATAAAAGAGATAATAACTACATATTCCTGTAAATCTTTCACTATTGAAAACAAGATGCAAATTCTATAATCTCTCCTATAATGCTCGTATGACAGTTGAGTATGACACTAGGCTGACAATAATTCTCCAATAACAATTTATCCTCCAATACTCCACCTTAAGTTGGAGTGTGGGGTTATGAACATCCAATTTGCCCGTAAGATTTTGAAACTGCCTGAAAGCTAATTAGGGGTGTGAAAAAAACTGATTATTTTAAATTAAATTGGTATTCAAATTGTTTCATTTTTAAAAATTCAAACAAATGCTAAAATGTAAATATGGATATCTATTATGATATCCAAATACAAACTGGTACCTATAATAATAAAAGAATTCATTATCCCACCTCATAGGTTTCTTTCCCACCGTGTGTTTTTCCACAAATGCCTACAGATTCCGGAGATATATCTTCGGACGTGTCCCATGACTTAATAATATTTCGGAGATATATCTCCGGAGCAATTTAAACCTTAAACGGTCAAAAGATATCTCCTATAACCCATTTTTCATTTGAATTTATCCGGAGATGCATTTACAGAAATTTTCCGAAGATACATCTCCGAAGTATTTCAGAACAATTTTTTTTTAAACGCATTGTGTATTTGTTCTCATATGAATTATAAAATAACAAACACACCAAAATAACATGACAATATAGTAATAGGATGTCATACGTCACGTAAATCTAAAATGTAATAACAATGTCAGAAAAAACGTACAAACTACAGTACTGAAACAAAATAAATACAGATAACTACTGGGTGTGCCTGACAACCTCTCCTCTGCCTGGTCTGCCTCCTCTTCCATCGATCCCCTATGTCCTTGCGCAATGTTTGCGGTACAAAAGTGCCCCATGTGCCCCCGCAATAATGCCATCCATTACTCATCTGACAGCAAACCCCTCAGGGAAGATACTCTCGTCAATGCCTGCCCGCGTCATCTCTATTATGCAACGACAACGAGGCAATACATACTTAGTATGATCCATCTGAGCCTGTTGCTCCTCTAGAATCTCTTGATGAGCGGGTCTTGATGGATCTCTTGGAGTAGTCGGCACCATGTACGAATGTGAGACCCTAAAGAACCACTTGATGTATTCGTCGACGTAACTCCAATCATTCGGCGCTATGGTAGCCCGAGCCTCATCCGATATCAGATGATTATGATAATCAGAAAACATCTCTCTATATGTATACGAGTCAAGGTCGGAGGTGCAGAGACAATTGGGTATCTAGGGATGGTCTGGATGTACCCGAACTGCCGCATGACGCGCTCCGGCAGATGAGGAGCAGTGGTCGTCGACGAGTAGGCCAGCCATTTAGAGTATAGCGATATGTCGTCAAATGGCCGCGTCTGATGGTGATCCATGTAGTAGTTGAAGTGAATTTCCTCAGCAATCAAAAGGTCAAGATAGACTCTGAAAAGATCGACCGCCAGGTTCCCTCTCAACGGGATAAAAGCATAGACATGAGGCATCTTCTCAGTGTACTCATTGCAACACGACCAGCCAGTGATGTGCGGGAAATGCTGAAGGATCCAAGCCTGAAGTGAAAATAAAAAACATTCAGGGATCAAGAATTATTGCAAATATGAAATGAAAAAGATAAAAAATAATCAAGGATACAAAATTATTACCACCAGTAGGGTCGTGCTGCCTGTGGTATGCCTCGTCGTCCACCGACATCCATCTCTCAACTTCGAATATAGAAAGGTCAAGCAAGCCTCCCCCAATTGTACTCATGGATTCGTGTGAGATCTAAATATGTCTGGCAGTATGGTATGAGTATAAAGGAAGTAGGGACATATCATATGGACCCCCTGAAAGCCTCTGGCTCGGCATCAGCAACATCACCCTCCAGAGGTGGCATCCATGCATCTCGATCAGCAGGTGAAACCGGGTCAACAGGAGGTGGTACTGGATCAACAGAAAGTGGCACAGGTGCATCCCGCCGCATATGGGAGGATGGAGGAAGTGGCGCGTCAGCTGGTGCATCCCGTGGTCTACGGGAAGAAGATGAAGAAGGTGGAATGGATTTGAGACGTAGATGGTGTAATACCTCATATTTCCTTAAATGCTCAATTGGATGCCAGTTGGGATCAACCGAGTTCCTATATACTATATCCTTTGTTAAATGGAATAATTGAAGCTTCTAAGTGCTCTAAAATGTTATCAGTTGTGACCAATAGAGTAACTAGTGAACTATGAAGAAATCAATTATTGATAAAAGAGACAGACCAATATTAATAATTAAGTATAAGAGATGATATTTTGGTAACTCTAATATTTAGTCAATTGATGTTAGATGACAAAATATCAAAGGGAAATATTTTGTGCCATTAACTATTATTATTATTATTATTATTATTATATATATATATATATATATGTATATATATATATATATATATATATGTATATATATATATATATATATATATATATATATATATATATATATATATATATATATATATATATATATATATATATATATATATATATATATATATATATATATATATATATATATATATATATATATATATATATATATATATATATATATATATATGCGCTATGCTAAACTTACACCATTTTTGTGACACCGTAACTTACACCGTAGACAAGCAAGGAAGAAAATTGGGTTTGCACAGAAATCAAGGCAAGACAAATTATTAAAAAAATAGAATCTATACATTTTGTGTATAAATGTACGGTGTTGATGTAAAAAAAGGTGTAAGCTTATCATTTTCCTATATATATATAAAATAAAGATAATAAGAAAAAGAAGAAAAGAGAAAAGAAGAGAAAGAAGAAAGAAAGAGGAAAGGGGGAAAAGAGGGAAACTCATGGAAGAGGTGAAGGTGAGATAATACTTAGAAGGGGGGGTTGAATAAGTATGAAAGATTAAAAACTTAGAATTAAAACACAATTATTTTTATCCTGGTTCGTTGAACTCAACTACTCCAGTCCACCCTTCCTAGAGTGATTTGCCTTTCTCAACAAGGACTTAATCCACTATTTAATCAAACAGATTACAATAGTAACACCTAAGAACAACTGTTCTTAATCTTCTCAAGAGCTACTGATTTCAACTGAATCCTCTTAAGGAAATCTTTTACAATTAATGTAAATCTAATACAAGAGTAAGAATGCTTTTAAAAAGCTTTTATCACAACAGTGATATTTCTCTTAAGTTTAAGTACAATGAAATTAATTCTAAGAAGAATATGAGAATATGAGAGCTTTGAATGTTTCAATTTCTTTTTCAGCAAAAATGTCTAACTGAAGAATTTGGTGGAGTCTTCCTTTTATAGGCAGCTGATCCAAGGAGAGCTGAGCGTTGAGAAGAGTGTCCCAAAAAGGTCTGAGCCTTTTTGTCTTCACATCAAGTGACCTTTCCTAGAAGAAGAAAGCACAGAAAAATCATTTTTGTTTGTGTTCTTGTGTCTAGCATAAATGAGGAAAGAGACGTTTGATTTACTCCAACAGATATAATCTTTGAATATTTCTTCTTCAGTTTTCAGCAAGTTCATCAGAGTCTGATTGGGTCAGAGTCTTCTAATGATGATCAGAACTTTGCTGAATCAGAGTCTTCTGCAGCATGTGTGCTTTCAGCGTGTTAAATATCAGAGCATATTTGAAACAGAACTTCAGTACTGGCAGCTTTAGTACTTTCAGAATCTTCTGTAGAAACTATGCTTTGAAAAACTCTTCATATAATATTCTTCTTAGCTTCAGATGCTTCTGACTTGATTCAGATGCTTCTGCTTGCTTCAGATTCTTCTGGAGCTTCGGCTTCAGAATCTTCTGGAGCTTCTTGCCTTAGATCCTTCTGGAGGCTACGCTCAGGATCTTCTGTTGGCAGCAATCAGAATCTTCTAATGAGTGCATCTGGCGCTTCAGAGTCTTGTTAATTTCTTGTATTCAATTCTGATTTGCTTCTAGAGTGTTAATATCTTTACTATCTGCAGTAAAAACTCTCAAGTAAATTTTAGAGTATATAATTCTTAAATACAAAATTTCCTAATAGTTATCATCAAAACAAAGAGATATTATTAAGAACCAATCTGTGTTCTAACAATCTCCCCCTTTTTGATGATGACAAAAAGCATCAGAAATTTTGTTTAATATGAAATATTAG